AAAATTAACTTATATTATCAATTCAAATTTTAGATAACACATATTTGGATATGAAGATTAATGATCATAATTCGTTTAATAATCTCTCCCGAGTGGACTAAAAATATCCTCTCGTGTGACTTTTCTGTATCTTTATGAAAGATGCAAAGATGCATATCATGTTTCTCTCTTGGCAAGGGTTTTAAAATATGGAAGAATCAATGAAAAGGGTTCGATAAACATTTAAAAAAGGCCAAAAATCGTTCCAATTAATTGCAAAATAGTCCCAATCTTTTAAAAACAGCAAATCAGGTCCCCCAACTCGGCAGACGGGGTGCCTAGGCTCTATGGCACAACTTGGCACTTGGAGGACGCTGAAGAGTTCTTTCTTTTTGTAGCTTCGATCCTAAGGATAATTGCACGTCCAGTCCCTCAACTTTTATGTTATCCATTTTGGTCCTCAAATTTTGACTTCCTTTTCAATAATGACCCCCAAAAAATTGCGACCCTAGATCCCTGAACTTTCGACATTTGTACACTTTTGTCCCCAAAGTCATGTTTTTGTACACTTTTGGTCCTTTTTCCTTCCTTTAGCTTTCTTCTCCTTCAATTTGGGATTTTGGCCTACAAAAACTATAATTACGCAATTATGAATAGAAATTCACTCAATTTCATCAATAATGAGATCGTTAAAGTACATTAAGTATAGCGATATATATCTATTTTTTATCGGACTTTACAATTACTGTTACTGCATGTCAAATATCAATTCAACCAGCAATCAATTAATCAAAAAAATCAAGGTTGTGTTTAGTTTGTTGTTTTCAAACTGTTTTCAGTTTTTACTTTTGCAAAACGCTAAAGACGTATTTGGCCGACATTTATGAAAATGCATTTTTTGAAAATAAATGTTAATTTATAACATAAAACTCGACACATTTATGATGTTTTGATTGTATTCTGTGGAAATTTTGAATACATTCAAAATATAGAAAACAAGCGTTAAAAATTAAAAACTTCGAAAAATAAAAATATAAAATTCTAACAAATAAAATTGGAAAATTAAAAGTTTTGAAAAAATTAAATGTAAAATTCTAAAACACTAAAATTCTAAAAAAAAAAAAAAATTATAAAAATTTCTAAAAAGATAAAAATATTTAAAGTTAATGATTATTTACATTAGAATTCTTAAAAAAAAAAANTTAGGCAAACAATTATTTATATTAAAGCTTACTTATCTCCTTTTGATTAAACTTTTAAGTTTAGCCAAACATGGGTGTACACTGAAATTTTTTAAAAAAAATTATGCAGAACCAACTCATGAACAAATCAATTGCTGAGCTTAAGAAAAAGGTATGTTCTTGTAGCTTTTATGTATAAAGTAGACATGATTTAAAGATGTTCGTGTATGTAAGAATGACACTATCTCGTTGGAATATAATAGGTACGTTGACCAAAAATAACATGTCTTAGTAATTGCAAATGATCTAGTTAACTTTACATCTTCTTGTAAATATGGTAATGATCCCGATGAAATGGTGTAGCCGAACTCGAATTTATGGAGAAAAATATTTTGTTTGCTGTTATTATATTGTATTTATCTTCCCTTGTTTCATATAAGGACAAGGCATTGCAAGATGAAAACACCTTACTTTTGAAGAAGATCAAAGAGGAGAAAGAATTATCCCAGAAGTTACAACAGGAACAAAATCATGACATCATATCTTCTTCTGTTCCACAACTTTTGAGCTCGGGTAAATTCTCTTTTTATATGCGTGCGCTGACAGATGGAAACCAGTTACTTTCATAATAAGTTACTTTTTTACTTAAAAAGTAACATGTATATCTAAGAGCACATTTGCGAACAAAAATTTATTCCTGGCTAACTTTTACAGATAAACATGGAGAAAAAGATAATTTTACATCAATAAAGTAGTCCTAATTTTTACGAAAATGTTAAAAACTTGAGTTCATCTGGTAAAAAAAAAAAAAACATTAATTAACTGCCTGTAATTTTCTTGCAAAATATAGCAATAACATTATGTTCAAAGCAGGAACTGTGCTATCCAGTTGAGAATACAGGGGAAAACAGAGAGACCATATATAAATTTGCACGTATAAAATGCAAGAGAATGAAATATCAATTTTCCATCCAAATTCCTACTTAAGGTGTTTGATTGTTATTTTTTGCCTTTGAAAATATTTTCAAACTTTTGAAAATATGCTTAATTTTCCCTTTTTTTTTCGGGGGGGAGGTGGTTTTTTCCTCAAAACAAGGAAAACATTTTCTTTTGTAGGTGATATTTTTCGTTTCAATCAAACACACAATTATAGTTATACAAGCATTAATATTTGCTTATTTGATTGGTACGCAAGGATTGAATATGTCCCTGCAGAAGACATTGAATTTAATTTACCAAGAATTTCAGGTGAACATGGAGAAGTTGAAGGCCAGTCTCAATCAGCTAATGCAGTAATACCTCCATGGATGATCAACCATCTGCACGAGTCCAATAGGGGATAAGAACATGTTTGGTTGTACTTAGAAGTTACTTTTCTGAAAGTATATATGTATCTACACATAGACCTTCGGAAAAAGTAACTTTTAAGTTATATTTAAGACCAATCGAAAGTCTTGTGTACATATTTATCCATAATCAGGCTTCCGATGGTTGGCTGCTATTGTACTACTTGCAAGGAGTGTTGATCTCGACCACCTCATTGTAAGTGAGAGGCGAGATTATTTGTTTAAGTGCTTTTAAAATACTGCTTGGTCGATGTTGTTTCAAGTTATCGTTATCGATATATATGAGCTATGTACAGAGGTAATAAATTGTACTGTGGTTTGGTATTGTACCGAAGATTGTAAATCACTATGTAATATGCTATATATATGCTAGTTTCTTAACTTTATTATTTGCATTCACTATTTTTTTAAATAATTGATTAACCTTGATTTTAACTTAGAAAAATTACTTAAGTGGTTATGCATCTTTTTTTTTTTTTTTTTTAAATTTTTTAATACCATGATAGACCTATAAAATTGCAAACGCGTTTGGAATTTATAAGAAATTCTCTCTCCAAAATCGTAAGTTCCATGAAAGTAAATATATTGTTGGAGTAACACATTTTCGAATTTAATAATTTAATCTACTTAAATGTTGATTGATAATCAATAAAAATTTGAATTTCTTGCATAAAAGATCTTAAAAAATGAATTACCTTGGAATTCATATCAAGTTTAGTGCAAACATGATTCATAATTTTCGGACTACAAACATAGCCAAAGATGTGGACAAATAAATTAGAAACTCCATGATGTCATTATACCTCAATTGCCGTAACCATGGGACAAAAAAGAGTGTTAAATTGGATATTTTAATTTAAAGAGCTATTACATTGAGAATTATCTTGTTTTTGCTACGCCGTCACAATTATTAGTTGCTGACGCAAATGAAAGAAAAAACTATAGTGTTTGATGGTTGTTGAATGTATTAAAGTTAACCCGTCAAATAATCATTGAGTTCTTTGAACGTAATCTTACAACTATTATAGAAAGACTCGTGGAGGATTGTGCATTGCACGATTCCTATTATAATTTAAGAAATTTATTTTGTAAAAAATTTTCTTTCAAGGACTAAGAAATCAGCAGATAGAATGTATGACATGTAGTTCAAAAAACAATATACTATGCAAGATAAATTAGAAACTCCAAGATGTCATTATACCTCAATTGCCGTCACAATGTGACAAAAATGAGAGAGCTATTAGATTGAGAATTAACTTGTTGCTGCGCAGCACAACTATTGATTGTTTTATTATTATTTTTTCCCCAAAGGTTCCTTTATTAAAATCCTCGTTTATGGCGGAGGAAAACCGTATTTGCAATATTAAAAAGACAATCCAAATATCAAGTAAGATCTCAATAGACACCATTACGCAAAACTTCAAACTGCATAGTTCACTTCCTCAAATAAGAGACCCCTATCACATCTAGACGAATTGAGCCTCGAGCAAGCCTTGGCCAGTCTATCCAGTTATTAACACGTTTCAAAAGGCCCTTAGCTCCCAACCCAGCTAGACAATCTGCCACTTGATTCCCTTCTCTCCATTGATGTGTCACTTGGTAATCAAACTTCGATAATAGCTCCACTAGATCATCCCAAAAGTCACACAGATACTACAAAGAACATTTCTAGGATAATATCCATGAGACCACCAACAGTGAGTCACACTCAATGTCAATATGATTTATCCCCAACTCACGACATAACTGCAAACCTTCAATGAGTGCTCTCAGTTCAGCTTCATTATTAGTCCCGTTGCTGAAATAATTACTAAAAGCTGAAACCAATTCACCTTTTTCATTTCTAATCACTCCTTCACCACCAATTTGTCTAGGATTCCCAAGACTACTACCATCGACATTAAGTTTCACTCAATTATGGAGTGGTTTTTTCCACGAAACCACTCGAATCTGCTTTGTTGTAGCTAGTACTCGAGTATCTCGAGCATTCAAAGCACATGCTCATCTTGACTAGTTAGCACCTTGGCATTTGAAGGGTTAAGAGAAACCTATTGTAACCAAAATTTAATGGATAAAAACATGTCCTCAACATATTCAAGCTTACCCTCAATCCTTGCTTTACATCTTCTTGTCCATGATCTCCAAGTAATTAAGCTTGGAAGCAAACCAATCAAGCATCCCAACTGTGAAGATTTTCTTGGTCTGTTCCACCATAAATTGATTCTTTCCACCCAATTTTGTCCAGCGCACACCCACCAAACAAACAACATTCATCCACACCTTATCTACAAAGTCTCCAAAGCTTAAAATATAAGAAGCATTTTCCTCGTGACCTGTAGAACATCAATCACGTTTGGATGCAAGGTTAATGCCAACTGACTTAATGCGTTCATCAACACATAAACTCCCATTTAGAGCTTTCCACATCCACACAGAGACACGTTTAGTCGGAGCATTATTCCACACCCAGGCCACCCTTTCAACTTGCTCAATTCTCACCTTCACCACCTCCCAAGCCGATTTTGTAGTAAATAATGAGTGTTTATGTGGTTTCCAAATCAACAAATCAGTTCTCGTTCTTCGAGTTTTAACCTGAGATACAACTTCCTTAGCCAGAGTGTCACCAACAAGGTTTTCAGTCGAACCATATCCCATCCATTTTCTAAGCAAATTTCATTAGTTTTCAGGTTCGATTCTAAAAGCTGGGTTACTTGTGCACATAGAGGGCCCCCCACTATCCATTTGTCAAACCAGAAAGAGCAAGAACCATCCCTTATCTTGCATTGACTGTGCTCAATCACCTCCAGAAGACATTTTCTCACTAACATCCAGAAGCGAGTTATGTCCAATATCCCCCGTTTAGAGTATCTAAAAAATCTTGCCCACAATGAATCTGAAGATAGAAACCGCAATTCCCCCCTCCCCAACACAAGTCGGCACAATTTGTTCCACGAACACGCTTTTTTCTTAGTACTTCAATTAATTTCACCCCAAAAAGGATGAAAGAATGGAATTTAACTTCCGGAACACAGATTTAGGAATACTCCGCACTAATAATAAATGAAGGGTCATACTAGAAAGGACATGACGTAGAAGCACTAGCCTCCCTTGTGATAATAAAAGCATCTTCCAACTAGCAATTTCTTCCTGAATTTTAACAATCAAAGACTCTAAATGACGAGAACTTAGCCCTCCTTGCACAACTGACACCCCCAAATACAACAAAGGAAATTGGCCCTCTTTAAACCCTATCTCCCCATATAACATCGCTTTTCTACACTGAAGAACAATTCTTTGAGAAAAAGGTGGCCGACTTTTCTTTATTGAAAAAGCCTCATAATTGAATACCATGGATTTGTTATGCACTGGTCAATCAACTGGCAAAATTTATTTGGGAAGCCAAAAGTTTGTAGAACATGCCTCAAGAAACGCCAGTCCGCCCTATCATACGCTTTTGCCATATCCAACTTAACCATCACATTTTCCCCTCGCACATTTTTTATTCATTGTACTAACTCGTGTAAGAGCGATATTTTCAACAATATTTCTTTCAACAATGACAGCTCATTGCTCAGCTGAAATAATTCTAAAAAGTAAGGCAGCCATCGACCAAAATTTTTTAGAAAATATTATAGACTACAAAGCACGGACTTATAGGTCTGCATTTATCAAACCCAATTGGTTTCTCCACCTTTAGAATGAGGGCAATATAAGATGATGTGTAAAACCGAGCAAGCTCTCCTCCAAAGAAATCTTGTGCAGCTTAAATCACTTCCTTTTTGATAATATCCCAACATTTCATTAAAAAACTTGATCCAAACTCATCCGACCTAGGTGAGCTATCCATGGGAATCGTAAAGACGGCCTCTTCTACCTCAGTCGACATAGCACAAAGATATTGACACTTTTCGTCAGTCAATGCATCATCAGTCAATCTAGATAAATCTAGTACTGTCCCACATGTTTTTTAGTAAGAAAATTATGAAAATACCTCACTTCTTCCATATGTATTTGTTGGGGAGAAAATAATTGAGTCCCATTCTCTAGCGTCATTCGGTCCAGCCTTCTATTTTTTCGATATTGTGCAATCACTGCATGAAAAAAATTAGTGTTGTTATCCCCCTCCCTAAGCCGCCGTTTCTTTGCTACTTGAGAGAGTCTAATTTCTTCTCGCTTCTACCATTCCGCTAACACAAATCCTATTCCACCTCATCCGAAAACCCCTCTTACAATTACTCTTCTAGTATCTCCGCTATTTCCTGAAGCTATGATATAATGTGATCAACCCTTCCAAAGACTTGTTTATTTCATATTTTTAGCGCCACTTTAGTCCTTGTAAGCTTTGCCACCAACCTCTGTAAACCTCCCAACTCCACATCCTGAGTGCAATCCACCCATGCTTCCTTAACACAAGACATAAAGGATTCATGCTCACAAGCAATGGACAGTGATTAGATGTCTCCTTAGCCAACAATCTCAAGCCCATTTTCGGATACAAACTAGCTGCCTTGGAATTAGTAAAAGTCCGATCAAGCCGAGCCCCTCCTAGGTACTCCATCTTGGCCATTACACCATGAAAAATTTCTCTCCTCCGAATTTAACTCAATCACCCCTCATCTATCAATACAAATATTAAAATCATCCATCGCCACCATAGGGTGTTGTTGCCTACCTATACGCTCTGAATCATTTCTAACGATATTAAAATCACCAGCGACAATCCAAGGTAAACAGCTAACCATTATTCTCTCAAATTCTCGCCACAGCAACCTGCTTTCTAGAGCAATACATTTAGCATAAATGAAAGAAATCATCACCATACTTGATTTCCCTTGTAAAGGCTCAAAAGTCAGGGGTTAAGTATTACAAATTCAATTTTCATGTGGCAAGTTTCAAAATGCAAAACTCGGGTATTAACTAATTAATTAAAAATATTTATTAATTAATAAGGTCACAATTATATAATTAATGGTCACAACTTTATTCATTGTCATATATTGTCAAATTAATTGGCTACAAATTATTTAAAGGTCACAAATCAAAAATTTTATAGATCGCGGTTTATTTTATTGGTTACAAATCAAAAAATTACATGTTACAATTTATCTATCGATTACGGATTTTCAAATTTATTGGTCAGAAGTTATATTTTAGTTACAAATTATCGAATTATAAAGTCAGTTAAATAGTTGGTCATATACACCAAATAGTGGGTCATCAACGCCACTGCCACCCCAGCAACCACCCTCAACCCATCATCGTCGCCGCCACCACGACATTATTACCAACAAAATCGTCACCACTAGATTCAATCAACTGCCAAGAAAAATCACAACGCCACCAATAACCTTCTCCACCGCCACCAAAAACCACCACGATCACCACCACCAAACACATGAACAATATCCAACCCACAAACTAACCAATATAACCAAACCATCGACACGACCACCACCAAAAACCATCACAGCCACCAAGACCACAACCACCACCAGAAACCACTACCAAACACACCCAACAATACACCACCTCCCAACCTTACCAACACTACCCAAATCACCACTGCCACACAAGCACCGTTGCTACCATCACCATCATCATCACCATTGGCAAAACAACCACAACCTCCACTCCTTCACAGACCAACCACATCAACCACTGCTGTAGATCGCAAATGGTTATTGTTCTGCAATAGATCAATGTTCATGATAAGAGCAACGACATCGACGCTTAACATCAATAGATTGCAAAACCCCTAGCCATCGCCATCGTCGTCGTGAGCAAATAAGAAGAAGCGCTCACGTCCCTCTCCTTAATCGTCATGAACAAATAAGAAGCAATGTGAATCGAAGAAGAAGCATAAAAATGGTGGAGTCGCTGTTGCCGTGAGGAAGACGAAGTGAATGTCACGTGTGGCGGTTGGGGTGAATTAATTAGGGATACTTGATTTTTGAACAAATAAATTTGATCGCTAATTTTTGAATTGTGCATTTTAAAAACCTGGATATTTGTAATTTCCACTAAACATTAAGTTCTTCTTTGAACGTTATCTTTCAAGTATTATAGAAAGATATATCCGTGTAGAGCTCTTAATTAGCACTCCAATGATTTTCTCTCCGCACCTTGATTTCCTTTTATTTATTTGTTTTATTTTGTTATTTAAGCTTTTTAAAATTTAAGCAGATGGATCTGAGACAATTTGTACATTTTTTTAATAACAAAAGACTAATGATCACAATGTCTCGATCATATTGCTTCACTTTCTTGCCACTCAATAACTAATACTCCAATTTTCTCTTACTTCTAAGTAAAATTTCTAAACTTAGTCAAAGAAGAATTTAGTTTTCTAGAAACGAAAAGTAACATAATGCTTTTTCAAAACTAATCCTTTTACACGATTGCTTCTTAAATCACCTAGAATCAATTTGATTGACACGAGGTAAAAATGATTTTAAAATAATGTCATACATAGTCAACGATTTCTAATTATTCAAACATTAATGAATAACAAGCTAATAATAAATTAATACATTAAATAATAAGCTGTCACATGAAATGAGTTGACTATAACGAGTATTACAAATAATTTTAGAGTAATGCCGTTTGTACCCGAGCGTTTACACGGCCCCTTCGCGTCCCTTTCATGGGGGTCGGCACTGACTCCTGTGTAAGGGGAGAGGTGGGGCCGGGCAACCGGGCTTGTAAAAGTTTGGGTGGTCTATGATTTTAACCAAGACGGGAACCGTGATTTGTACTTCGTAATCGTAATCGTAATCACCAGGCACATGCTCTTCATGTGCAGGTCCTGCTCTCCTTTATTAGATTTGCCCAAATTGCTCCCTCCTCAATGAACACAGATAACGCGCACACATGTTTCACTCTTCCCACGTAAATCCGACACTTCGTCTTGCGTGATAGGTCTTTCACATTCAAAACCGATCTAAGTGTCACCTCAAATCGACAGATTGTGTACTATTTTACCTTACTATTTTGATATATTGGTCAATTTCATATTGAATTTTGTAGTGCATAGGTCTATATATGCAGCCACCCCTTTTTTTTTTCGGATTTCTTGATCAGATCTTATGTATTGAGTTTCCTTCCAATTCTTGATTTTGAGTGTGAATTGAATGGTGGGTCGTCACAAAATCTTGATTTGAGGTAAAAACTATGTTCTTTTGTCGGTTTGATTCAATCTGAGTGATGGTTTTTCTTGGATTCTTGAATTGGTATTGAATAGTGGAAGACACAGGTGAAAGATGCGGCGACGGGCAGCCGATTACCGGCGCCCGGTTCGAAGGAGGTTGTCATGTTGGATCTGGGGGCTTCTTGTGATATTTTCAGTTGCAGGTTTTGCTTTGTTTGTTCTTCATCACAATCAGCACCAGGAGGATCTTGTGGAGCAGCCTGTTTTAGTAAGTATAGAGCAGAAATTATTTCCCTTTCAATCTTGCTACATAGACATGCTTGACATAATTCTTAACATAATACATACTACGGCGTGACAACCTATCATTGAACTGATTAAGATATTGTCAACTTTTCCATCAAATTACATGTTGCCAACACTTATTATATCAACCATTATGTCACCTACTTCCTGGCAAAGTAGCATTATTCTTTCCCTTTTACATTGTGAATCTTATTATTTCTTTAATCGTGCCTGGATTGTTTATGGATTATTGCCAGTTTGAGTTAAATGTTTTACGTGTTTGATTAAGTGGAAATCTTTTCCTTCTTCAATTCCAAATAAAAATACAAAATAAAGTTCCAGGGAATTTTTTCTAGTCTTCTGATGCTGCATTAATCTTTTGTTTTGTTTTTTTTTTTCGTTGTTGTTTTGGAACATAACAATATAGTCATGATCTACGAAGTTTATTCTTCATAATTATCTCTACAGGTCCTATGTGATGTTTCAAGTAATCAGTAGAGTATTTATTTATTTTTTATTTTTATTTATTTTTAATTCTAGGGATTAATAATAGCTACCTTCAAGCTTCGCAAGAATGTAGCCTCGCCCTTCAGATTATGCGTTAGATGTAGTTGGTGCAAAAAATGCAAATCTATTATTGATTCGTAAAGTTTGATGCGGTTGTGTGGTCTGGAGGTTTCTGGAACTAGACATATCAATGATTATTTGTGGCGTTGTTAAGAACTCAGAGATATCCTGTGGATAACTACATACGATGTGTAATAGTCATGATCGTGAAGGTAGCTCTCACTTATAGTGAGTTTCGTTTACATAGTCTTCAAGGTTTGAAATGGATATTCCACTTCGTGACCAAGGTTGGTGAAACCATTCGTTCCAATATTGTTCTAGGTGTTTGTCATTGACTTTGTCTTTGTCGTCCAAAGTCCAAGAATCAATCTATATACAATTCTCCCCTATTCCGGTCTTGGAAAAGATGGAATATTTATCAAAAACATGGATTTTTATTGCAGAATGAAATCTTATTGAAGTGTCACATGTTATGTAAACTTTGCTTCTGAAATGCTTAAGGTGCTAAATAAATTTGGGGTTGGTGATGCTTTAGGTGTCATACAAAATTGGGGCTGGCAATGCTTCAGGTGTTACACAGAACTTTACTGCAATTCATGAGCATATAAGACTTTGTCATCTTGGAGCAGAAGCATTTCTACATCTTCACTTTCTAATATTCTTTTTCTATTTTTATAACCGTGGGTGTCCGAGTTAACTTACGTGCACCTCGACTAATTCCACGAGGTCTTGAAATTTACAGTCAGATATTCACCTCAATAGCCCTTAGAGGACTCGAACGGGTGATTATTGGGGAGCAAATCCAAGGCCTGACCACTGAGCTATCCCTAAGAGTTCACTTTGTAATATTCTTGAATGAAAAACTTGTGAGGTGACACGTTGCTACTGGTTTTGACTTGAAGAATTATATGAAGTTTTATAAATTTTGCTTTGTGCAGAAAAAAGTACATATGTAGGAGTTTCGTAAGATAAATAGGGGCCCAAAGAATTTGCTAGAGTAAGTTTATTGAGTTTGTTATTTAAGATTCTTGAAATGGAAATAAAGTGTCAATTTTTTCTAAGAGGTGCTCTTGTCATCATCAGCAAAATTCAACAATGAACTGAACGTTTTCCTCGAATAAATATATGGTCGGACACAAGAATCCTTTTCCGCCACTTGGCCCACTTCATTCAGTTTAATGCTAGATTTATAAGAAGACCTAGATCAACTAGATTCTTAGCCATTACCACACGCCATGTTATTTTTGGTCTACTCCTCGCTGCTTTGACATGTGTTATCGAGATCACATCAATCTTATGACTAGGAGCCTCTAAGGTCTACGAAAAAACATATTACAATAACCTAAGTCGATATTCCCTCAATTAATCTCAATTTACGCTACACACTTGCTTGGCCTAGGCTTATTTCTTATGTTATCAAATTTATTATGACTGCACATCCATTGTACAGTCATCTTATGGGCATTTTGTTCTTAAATAGTTCCACACCTCGGTATCATAAAGCATAGCAGGTCTGTCGCTATAGAACTGACATTTTTAACCTTGGATTTTCTTGTCATTCAGAAGTCGGATATGGTTGCTATTATAGTAATGTAATACAATAGATATTATGGGGTTGTCTCGGTATTCTATTTTTGTGATATATATTCAATAAGCTGAAAGGAATTACAGTGGATTCTCTCTCTAATTTGACCATCAATTTCTGCCTAAAGTAAAATGAAACTACCCTCCCCTATTTATACTGAGAAGCCTATACAATGCATTCTACTAAATTCCTGTATTACCCCTCTACGACTTTAGCCTATCAACTAGTAACCTATCAGTCTGTTGTTTGGGCATACAAAAGAGAAAAGCCTCGTAAGATACAGAAGAAAGATTCTTCCAGTTTAGCTGGTTATATTATATTCACCTGGGTGAAGACGGAAAATTGATTTTTCTTTTGCTTTGCTTCTTTGACGCTTCATCCCTAGGAAAGTAAATGAAAGTACCAATTCATCCTCCATCTGATTGTACTAAAATATTAGTTTCTCTCATCATCTCTTCCAATCACATCATCTTTTAATTACACCTCACTTTTCAAAGAGTTTTCCCTCCCCCTGATGTTACACTGTTCTTCCTGCTGTTAACTGGAAAACTGGAAAGATACTTCAAAACATTTGCCCCATCTTTTGAACTAAATCTTGTCAAGATGATTAGCTACTGTTCCAAAGCGAAGTTGCTGAAGTTTCTTATGAAACTAGGTTTTTTGCCAAGGCTGAAGGTGATATAAGAAACACTGATTATTATGAAGGACATTCTACATCATAGAAGATGCGGACTAAGTATTAGTAGTGCAAATTCTATTCGAGATGCCTAAGCTTTATAAATGGTGGGTTGCTGCTTTAGAACAGGATAAGTTTATTCTATTTCTAGTTGGGAAGTTTACTCATGACCACTCTATCAAAAGAATGCATCAAAGCTGATGTCTTTTAGCATTTAAGAAAATTGAAGTTTCTCTAGTCAGATTGCCATCTGAACAAAGTTGATGGAGATTTATGTAACCAAGCTTCTAAGGCTGGATTAACCCATTTAGAGGAGTGGTCAACTGAATATATTCCTGGGTTAACCAATAAAAAAATAATAATAATAATAATAAAATTGGACTATGCTGGAAGAGAGAATCTGGTAAATTTTGATGCTGAAGTAGTTAAAACTGAAAAATTTTCCATGGATCTTGCATAGGAGATGCCTTTAAAGGTAGCAGATTTTCTGTGAAGCTCTTCCAATGCTGAATCTGAACAGTTTCTTGACAATTTCTCTTATTGGTGACGTTGAATGCGCCATAAAATCTCTTTGCCAAGAGAAGAATACCGAGAAATATGATTTATTTAAATGTCATTATCATTCCATAAATTTCTTTGGTGATAATATCTTTATCACACTTCCGACAGTAAACTTCAGGCCCCATGGGATTAGTCAAATTGCGCGTAAATTGGTCCGGACACCCATGGTTATCAAAAAATAATAATAATAATAATAAATAAATAAATCTTTATCACACTAAGATTTTTCTTAAAATAATTTAGCGTTAATATAATTAGAAGTATTTAAACATTTACTTCAATGTGCAATGTATGTAGCTCTGTGTATCCATTTCCTTGTTACTGTGATTACTCTTCATGATGCTTTAAATGTTAGAAGACACAGTTTCATATAATTTTATTGTCTGATGATTTTTTAACTGGTTTTGATTGTTTATCATTCTGTAACTTAGTCCTCTCTTTGCCAGGATACAAATACCAAAAATGAAAAGTTTGTTCACAGGCATTTAAATTTTACTGAAGAACTCTTAAGTGTTCGATCATATGCCAGACAATTAGCAGAGCAAATGACCCTTGCCAAAGCTTATGTGATTATTGCAAAGGAGCATAACAATTTTCATCTTGCTTGGGAGCTTAGTTCAAAAATAAGAAGTTGTCAATCTCTTCTTTCAAAGGCAGCAATGAAGAACGAGCCGGTATCATTGGATGAAGCCGGCCCAATGATTATAAGTTTCTCATCCCTCATTTTTAAGGCTCAAGATGCTCATTATGATATTGCAACCACTATGATTACAATGAAATCCCATATTCAAGCCCTTGAAGAACGTGCACATGCAGCTACCATTCAGAGTACGGTATTTGGACAATTGGCTGCAGAATCAGTACCAAAGAACCTTCAGTGTATTGACATTAGACTCACTTCTGATTGGCTGGAGAAAAAGTCACTACAGGAACTTGCAGATGAGAGGAGGAACTCGCCCCGACTAGTCGATAATAATCTTTACCATTTCTGCTTATTTTCAGATAACCTTCTGGCTGTTTCAGTTGTTGTGAATTCTACTATTTCTAATGCTGATCATCCCAAGCAGTTTGTATTCCACATTGTAACGAATGGAGTGAAATACGGGGCAATGCAAGCTTGGTTCCTTGGTAACGATTTCAAAGGGGCTACAGTAGAAGTCCAAAATATTGAAGATTTCACGTGGTTGAATGCATCTTACTCTCCGGTTTTAAAACAGATAAATGATAAAGATTTACGGAAATATTACTTTGAGGGGTCGAGGGATATGAGTCTTGAATCTAAATTACATAATCCTAAGTACGTCTCTCTGTTGAATCATCTGCGATTTTACATCCCAGAGATCTATCCACAGCTTGAGAAGATAGTTTTTCTTGATGATGATGTTGTTGTTCAGAAGGATTTGACCCCACTTTTTTCATTGGATTTGCATGGAAACGTGAACGGGGCAGTGGAAACTTGTCTTGAATCCTTTCACCGGTTTTACAAGTATCTCAATTTTTCAAACCCAATTATCAGCACCAAATTTGATCCTCAAGCATGTGGATGGGCATTTGGGATGAATGTTTTTGATCTGATTGCTTGGAGAAAGGAAAATGTCACCGCGCGATATCACTATTGGCAGGAACAAAATGCTGATGGGTCACTGTGGAAGCTCGGCACTCTTCCTCCTGGATTTTTAGCTTTTTATGGATTGACAGAGCCACTTGATCGGAGATGGCACGTCTTAGGATTGGGTTACGATCTGAACATCGATAACCGTCTGATCGAGACTGCAGCCGTGATTCATTTTAACGGGAACATGAAGCCGTGGCTAAAGTTAGGAATAGGCAGGTATAAGCCTCTATGGGAACATTATATGGATCAGACTCACCAATATCTGCAGGATTGTTTCACAAGTTAATATATATGATACTTTCAAGTGGCGGGAAGTTAATTTGACCGCTCATTTTCGCTTCTTAGAACCATCATTGCATTACCATAGTGTTAGAAGTAGAAATTTTCGACATTTATGAGGGGGAAGAGAATTCTTTTTACACACTAGAAAGTAAGCATGTATCAGGTAAAACTGTTAAAGGTTGTAGGGGATTTCATTTTTGGCTGATCTGCTCTTCTGCAAATTGTAGTGTAATTGTTTTTATTAAGCACTTCAGTTCTCTCTCAATTTGTGTTGGGTTCTTTGTTTCATTTTTTAGACAAAACGAGACAGTATTAAGGAAGACAAATTATTATTATCATTTTTTTTTTCCATTTTACTTTCTTGATCCCTAAATTGTTGTTACAAATATGTCTTTTACATGGAAAAAAATAGGAAAATTAATTTGAATTGCTAAGTTAGCGTTATTATCGGTAATAATATTTGGCTGGCATATCTCCTCATTTTACTCTCATTACCTTATTGAGAAATCTTAACTGACTCAAAACTATATAACTCCCATTTTCATGCCTCATTTCCTCCTCTAATTCAAATTCAAATTCAAATCATACATTTCTCTCTATTAGTTGGCACTCTCAACAACCACCACCTCTGCCACCAGCGAAAACGCAAAGCATACGAAACTGTTGAACTAGTTAAATGGTTTAAGGATGAGCTCACCATATACAATTATTATTATTATTATTTTTCATTTTACTTTCTTGATCCCTAAATTGTTGTTACAAATATGTCTTTTACATGGAAAAAAATAGAAAAATTAATTTGAATTGCTAAGTTAGCGTTATTATCGATAATAATATTTGGCTGGCGTATCTCCACATTTTACTCCCATTACCTTGTTGAGAAATCTTAACTGACTCAAAACTATATAACTCCCATTTTCATGCCTCATTTTCTCCTCTAATTCAAATTCAAATTCAAATAATACATTTCTCTCTATCAGTTGGCACTCTCAACAACCACCACCTCTGTCACCACTGTCGCCAGCGAAAACGCGAAGCATACGAAACTGTTGAACTAGTTAAATCGTTTAAGGATGAGCTCACCATATACAATGATGAGAATCGTTCGTTGGCGTCTAAAAGATATAGTATCGTGTTTTTACTCAAGCCGGTTCCCTTTAGGTAATCAAGTCTAAGCTTACGAGATCTAGTTATTTATTCATGATCTTCCTATTGGAGTCTTGGGTATGTTGTCATGCTCTAAGGCTTTAGTATTCTGCAGTATTAAGGAAGAAAAGTAAGTTAAAATCTTATTTATCATATCGTTAGTATCATATGCACTTGAATTCTCGCTCTTTCTAGTTTAAATAACTGACGGTGTTCTATTTTAGATGAAAAACCCGGAAAGTTTTGTTCCACGGTACCTCGAATGCCAAATGGAGGCGTAGTTATCACCCCGAAAGGCTCCTGTAGAAGCCACAAGGTGAAGAGAAAAATGTCGACAGTTGAAACATGCCATCAAGAAGGTGAATCACTTCAAAGTTCCACGAGATACGGTAGTACTAATTCGCAGGAAAACGAAGAGGAAAATGCAGATTCAAGCTGGCCGCGGTTTGCAGAAGAGGATTATATCGTCTTCTTTTTTCGCGAAGATGGAGGAATCCACATGGTAAATGATGGAAACTCAGAAGAATCGGATGAGGTTCAAAATGCTAACAGTACAAGTTCAAGGCGCATTAATCGAAAGGTTAGCCATAAAAAGTCTTATTAGAGCTCTAATCTTCTGTCATATGTAGCCTTTTTCTAGTATAAACTTCCCTCAAATTGCAACAATAACTTAATTTCAACTTTCCCACTTGTTTTCTTGAAAAAACAGCTTGATTATGGTGAGGATATTGAAGAATCTTCTCTCTGTAGAAGTAAACGGGCTACTGTCAATAAAGCTAAAAAGGATAATCATCAAACAACTGAGGAAGACATTGCAAAGGTGAAGTGGCCCTCAATCTTTAAGTCTTCTTTGACATGTTAGATATAGAAGATTGCATAGCATTAGACGTTACCATAAACAATAACTTTTTTTATATATTTTTTTTTTTAATTTATATCTTTCATCTTCCTATCACGTTCAAATGAACCAAACTGTTTTGTTTGTGATTTGAGAAAACAATGTAGGCTGACGACAACCGGATCATTGACATGGATAGTGAATCGCAATCTGATGAGATCGAAGAGATTAATGGTGTCGAAGAGAGTAACAAAACCGACTCTCTTGAATCGTGCGATTCTAACAAATCGAATAGTAGCACAGGTTCTTTTGCCTTCCCAGTGTAAGTGTGAAAACACGTTACTCATTTTACGACGAATTATTGAACTTCTGCTAATGAAAGCCAGGTTTTTATTGCTTGTAGGCTGGGATGGGAATGGATAGGGAGCCCCATGCAAATGCCAAAATCACAAGGCAAACACAAGAGTAGAAATCTGCTTCGTCATTGTTGTAGATTTTGAAACGTTACACGAGAAATCAAGATGCGAGGATCGAACTGACTCTGCAACATCTTTATATCCATTTTTGTTATTCTCTGGGGTTTCTTATCAAACACAGTTTGTGACTTCTGGAAGCAATACCAGAGGCTTCTGAGTGTGTTTTTATCTGCTTTTAGTATGTAATTTCAATACCTGTCAGCTTGGTTGCTAAAGCTCATTTAAAAGTAACTTTTTTACAAACTGTGTTATAGACTTCTTGGAAGTTAAAAAAAAAAAAAAAGTTTCAGTCAAAATTCTTACTGTCAGGAAAAGCAAATTTCACTTTTTTTAAGCTTAGCCAAACACGAATATGAGCTGTAATGTCCATCTCTGTCCTACATAACTAAATATGATGCACTGTAACTATTGGACCCAAGAGCAAGTCGCAAGATTGGTCGAGTTATCAATTGAGTGAATTAAGAAAAATTAGTAAACGAACGGTGGAAAACATGAATAAATCTGTGAAAGCTACAACATGATATAAGAATAAAACTCATCAGTTCAAATATCGTGCCACCAATTTATGACATTGTGCATGTTTTTTATGGAAAAATGAATATGACAGGCACGTGAGAAGATAGATGCGTTGAAGACATAATTTAGATAAATAAGTTTGTCAACTCTCTATCAGCTTAAAGTATACGATAAAGTGGTTCAAAATCACGATCATATTCTATGCAAACCATGCTAGCTAGCATATCAAATGAGACTGACGTTTGATCAAGATGAGCGTCTCTTCAAGGAAATTCAATAACAATTTTTTTCACTATGCGGTGCCCTTAGGATTGAGTATAAAGATGATTCTGTCATTCAAGATCTAATATGAATATTTAATTCACACCTTTTCTTCTTTTAAGAAATCCAAAACGGATAATCCCATTGAGTTAAATCACTGCGAACGGTAGAGGACCAAAAGGACAGTAAACAGTGAGCCAAAAAACATGAGACCCCAGCCATAAAAGCATAAGCACCAAGCTCTAAGGCCGCTCTTTTTCCATTGTGAGGGACATAACGACAAGGACCACTACTCAAAGCACAAAACAAGTAAGCAATTATCATACAGAATTGTCTCATTCGGCGCAAAAGAAAAACAAGATGAAACGTTGGCACAAGTGCAACAAATTGTATTAATTTACTTTTAAGATTTGTTATTTCTTTTAACCCTGAGGGGTAGCTCAATGGTCCAACTTTGGGTTTGCTTCCCAATAGTCACCAATTCGAGTCCCCTCAGGACTACTGATGTGAGTATCCGACTGTAAACTTCAGAGTCCCGTGGAATTAGTCGAAATGCGAGTAAGATGGTTCGGACACCCACGGTCATTAAAAAAGATTCGTTATTTTCTTTGACGACTTGAAAAATAAAACAATAAAGTTACCATAAATTAAAGGCATATAACGAAGAGAGAGAGAGAACTGGTTACATAAATAGCATTATACCTCCACAAAGTTCATATCTTCATTCCATTTACCCCAACACAAATTATAGGAGAAACCACAAAGGATTCTACTTGAGCAAATATGGACCTACTCACTAAATTAAGTGCTCAAATTAATCACTTTGCAACCTAACAAACAATGCCCAGAAAAGCCATTTCTGTAACAAACCTGGTGAACTTATATGCTTTGTTTCAGAACAGACGACTGCAGACATAATCTTGCGCCGGTAACTGCAGTAATAGATCCTTCGTCTTTCTTTGCTTTTGCAGCAGTAACAGCAGCAATATAAGCTTCTCTTGCAGCCTCCAATTCCTGCATCTCAATTTCATTCAGATCATCCTGCATAAGCAAGTTTCAATTGAAGGTAAATTAAGAAAGAATCAGAAAATATCAAAGCACAGAGCACGGTCGGTTGAGCTTAAAAGTAAATTATATTTTGTTTTCAAACATGTTCAGCTAATTATTAAAGTTTTCTTATTTGTAGTAAAAAGGTTAATCATTCTTTTTCAGATATAGTTCATGGGTAAGGAAAGAAAGGGAGACTGAGTGATCAATAACTTACTAAGTCGCGATTCTCATCTAGAGGATGAGATGTCATCATAGTCTTCAGCAGAAAGGGCGTCACTCTTTGTCAAGCCATGAATTAAAAGCATCATTGACGAAATATCTTCTTGCACCATTTCTAGATCTTCTTGGAGCTTCTCCACTTTTTTGTTAGAAGTCGTTGCTTCCCTTTGTAATTTTTCCACGGCTGCTTGCTGACTATGGGGAAAAAAATGCAAGTAACAAAAATATGAGATAAATAAGTTGACTTACAAGTAAATTAGTTTCAAAATTAACATTTTTTTTGTTGGTAAAGGTCAGATATAAGTTACTTATTTTGATAGTAAAGTAAGAATTTTACTTTTAGAAATAAATAACCTGGTAAAAGAAAGTTACCTAAGCAATAAAAATGGAAACTTCCTAATATTAACCTGATAATTGTGGAAAGAAAAACATTCAATAGTATGTCCCAAAATAAGTCGATAAGTAGTCCAAAATCCATGACTCGAAAAAGCATAAGAGTGCACACGTTGCAAATTAATCTCCATCAAAACAAATTAAACAATGAATGAAACAAAAACATTCCCCAGTCAAGCAGCACCAAAATCCCCAAGAGGTGAGGGTATTTATTTAAAACTAAATAGCCAACAAGGCATTTAAAATTAGACGGGACTACGAGAGAGTCATCAAAAGATTAATCAAGAAATACAAGTGTTTTCTGATCATTTAAAATATTAAAGATAGAGGAAAAGACTTGTTTGCAGTTTGCATCAACTTTCCCTTCCCTTTTACTCTTTAGGCTGGCGGAAGGAGGATTGTTATACCATCAAATACTTACCTTTGTATCAGAGAG